TTCCTTTATCCATAACCGCCGGGTAAGGACTGCTTTTTGTAAAATTTCCGGAAAACTTTTCGAGAAAAGAAAGAAAAATTTTATTGGTCTTTAACAAAGGATACATGCTACTATAAAACCCTTTGCAGGAGTACACAACTTTAGGAGTATCCGCTTTGGGGAGCGGATATAATTTTGCCAGAGAAGTTAATAATCAACCAAAAAAGAATTAGTGACTGTTAAAATATTACTGGGAGCGATATCCAATCACTTCTCGTTGGGTACTCCTGCCTTTGTACGAAATCCAGTTTTCTGGCATTTATCCGATGTACGTGTACTTGCTGGCTTAAAGCCATGAAGCCATCATTTCATTAGCGGCACTTTACACATGCACATGGCCTTTTTATCATTGAACGGAAAGGAAAAGTATAAAAACAAGATACCCTGTTGGTTAATGGGTTAAATACATTATTCATTAAAAATACTGCATATAAAGAACATCATTCAGTACAAGCGATTCTGTTGGACTTTCAGCTTTCTTTTCACTACATTTCCCAGCTCGATCACGTCTTAGAGAAAGCATGAACAGGGCAGAACAGACAAGGAAGAGGGAAGACTACAGCAAAAACGTCTCCGTATCACATGAATGGGGGAAAGGACAGAATAACAATCAAAACCAGAAAAAAAAGGAGAGAAAAAGGCGAAATTCGTGTTCATTCTCTTACATAGAGATGATTGCTTATGCCATCCTGAGCTCACCCCAAAAGCGCGCCACGTTATCTGGGATCTATAGTTTCATCCAGAACAACTATCCCAGTTTCACTGAGCACAGAGAACGCTGGAAGAACACTGTCCGTCACAATTTGTCTCTTCATGAATGCTTTCAACATGGAGGGATGGCATTTGATAGAGCTTGCTGTTACTGGCACATTAATCCCAGATTTGTGGCAGCATTTAGCCGCGGGAATTTTTCCAGGCGTAAATCGGTGCACAGCAACAATCTACCTTTGGATGTTTGGAACAGTCTAGTTCAGGACCAGATCGCTGTACAGCGACCCTGCTTGCAGTGCTACATTCATAAGTCAAACCCATCATTTTCAGTAGTCGCACCCATGGAACCGCCACCGTATCATATACGAGAGCTTAACTCTATCGACTGCGCTTCGCACATTGCCTACCTACCCTAGGATCATAGGATATTAATGTGTTGCCAAGCTTGAACTTTTAGTTTTATCTTGCCTGAAAGAGACTCTTTCACTTTATTTACCCAGTATTAATTTATTGTCTCCAAATTGTTGACATACAAATGAAAAAAATTGTTGTAGTATTCAAAGGTTTTTTTTTAGACATAAACACTAAAAGTATCAGGAGCATTGTCACTTTTTCTTGGAACAAATAAAGATATCTCTTCAAGCAGTTACTCGAGAATCGTAAGTTTCTTTTGTTTATGAATTCCCCACTCTGAAAACAAATGATGAAATACTATGGCTGGTCAAAATAGATTTAGATAAGATCTTTTTTACATTATAACAGTCAGGACATTCGACTTGGTTGACTTGGTAATGGTTGACTAGCTAGACTTATATTCAGACTTAAAATCGCAATACAAATTTACAAGTTTCAGTGATGAACTGCTTAACAACCTGAACAAAGGTGACATCGCTCTTTAAAAAATTGCATGCCCATGTAATATAAATACAAAACCACGTCCAACAGAAGAACTCAAAAAAAGTACAAGCTAAAGAATTCATGGGTTTGGTGTCCTGTACCATCAGTAAAGAAAAGACAAGGGAGAGTGTCTTTTTGTAGCCTACGTAGCTCTAATCCAGCCAATTACGCTGGCTGTTCGTTTTGTCTTTCTTCCTGTATACAAACAGAGAGCTGCAATTTTTTATCAAAATCAAGGTTAGTGATTGGTAGAAAATGACTAAGAAAATGATGGTTCTTTGAGCTTGGTCGAAGGTAATTTTAAAAAAGCTGCAGCCTACTGTTACAACCTGATCGTGACGAAACTCGCCTTCCAACAAACTCAAAAACATTTGCTAAGTTAAAAACACCACAAACGCAGCCTGTTGAAGAGAAAATTATTGTGGAACTCCGTGGATTAGCAGAGATTCTCAAATCAGAAGAAGTTTCTTTAAGTCTGTTGAGGTAACATTTCACAGGACTTCACATACAAAAGAGAATTTGCCGGTTTTCGATGTTGTTTTTAATCACGGTTATTAAAACAGTTGTAATATAGCCTGTTGCCGAAGATTTGTTCGAATACTCGAACTCCGCGCATAATAAATTGTATCTTTATTCCATAAATATTCCACGTTTCAAACAGTTCCGGGTGAGCTGAGTCAAGTCCAAACAAATTCACGATGAAGTAGATCGAAATAAATATCCCACGCTCGACGAGTAAGGTTTTTTACAACCAAAACATAATCAGTCACTTAAAAGTATCAGGTTTCAAAGCACGTGGTTTCGGCTTTGTAGGTTCGGGCGCAGTATGTACGTACGCATCCGGTAGCAACATCGGTGCCAAACGAAAATCTATAAATAATATTAAATGTTTTTTAAACAATTGTTTCGTGAATTGCATTGATTGTCAAGAATGAGGGATGCCGGAGCCATGGATGGGGCAGCAAGGGATGGCGCAGTGGTGAGAGTTCGCCTCCCACCAATGTGGCCCGGGTTCAAATCCCGGTGTCGACGCCATATGTGGTTTGAGTTTGTTGTTGGTTCTCTCCTTTACTCCGAGAGGTTTTTCTCTGGGTACTCCGCTTTTCCCCTGTCCTCAAAAACCAACATTTTCAAATTCCAATTCAACTAAGAATCAGGTAGACAAAGAACCACTTTGTCAGATGTGCTACCTCCAATTCATTATTCTTTTCAAAACCTTCTTATAATGATAAACAGCTCAGTTTAAACAGAGGTTTCGCTGTACGCAATCCTTACGTTCAAAATATGCCATAATCAACTGCTACCTGTACGCCTTAAAAACATATCGAACGCACTCTTCTAAGCTCCGATTACTCTTTGTTATTATCATTATTATTATCATTATCATTATCATTATCATTATCATTATTATTGTTGTTATTATTATTATTATTATTATTATTATTATTATTATTATTATTATTAGTATCCTATTTCAAGATTCTTGCCTATTTGTAATCCTTGACTTGCTTATTTAGTCTCTAAAGCTCCGGGGCCAAGCCATGGTCTTAAGATACTGAACAGTTCACTTGATTGACAGAACCTTTCTTAGGATGTAATGCTGGCTGTGCCTGGAATTTTGCCAACGTATGTTTCCAGTTCCTTCTTAATGACCCCAAGTGCGCCAATAACAACTGGTATGTCTCTGTTTCCATTTTCCACATTCTGGCGATTTCAATCTTTAAGCGGTACAAGGACTTAGAGACTTTCTCGACTACCTTAACCGATATATTTCGGTCCGATGGAACTGCCATACCCGTTATAATCCAGCATCTCTGATTCGTGTGATCTCTAATTATGATATCTGGTTTCGGGTTGTTCATTTTCTACAACAGCTTCTGGTTTGTGTTCATACCATTTGTCTGCAGATGTCTGATGATGTTATAATTCTAGCACAAGCTTCCAACGGATATATGATGCTGTGTTATCATGTCGTTGAATGTATTCAGACTTCGCCAGTTCTGGGCATCCAGATATGACATGATCAACAGATTCGTCAAACTAATTGCCACACATTCTACGCAATGGGTTGGTGCCATCTTTGATGAGGATGATGATAATGATGATGACGGATGATGATTATTATTATAATTCAACGTCATCGTGATGCCTGTGTTTAGGTTCAATGTATGTTAACTGGAATCCACTAGGCACTGCATACTGGTGATATACGGACTTTTCCACCTCTGATGAACTCCTCTGATAAACGAAACTCAGCTGTCCACCACTAATAAAGGTAGCTTCTCCACTGGTAAACGATCTGGGTAACTCCACCACAATCAACCAGTTGAACTTACAAGGTTTATTTTACTTACTCGTAAGGTAGTTCAACATTCCTCTTCTCACTAGATAACAAGCTTAGATCTTGCTCTTCTGTAGTTTACTTTCCTCTCTAAAACCTACTCCTTCGCATCTGGCTATATATTTGCTTGGTCATTGATAACAGGTTGACATTAAAAGTAATGCTTAGGACGTATCTACGTTCTTATTAACATACGATTACCTTTTAACCATAAATTTCTTGGAGAGAGCTTTTCTTCAGTTTTGAAGCAGGATAACTACCAACGAAAACTAAGTAAGTAAAATTCAGAAAAAGAAACACACTTTAACTCATTCTTCAAAGTTACTTGGTTCTTTGAAGCGAAGACTCAAAAGTACAAACTTCGTTAATGGTAAACAAAGGACAATCCCATATTCATAAATGTGAGAACAAGGTAACTGATTACTCCAGAAAATACCATAACATACCATAATACTCTTTGTTTGTCACCCCAAAATTTTGCATACGCATGGTCTTCAGTTTCTCTTGGGAGTTAAAATGGCCCCAAGAGAAACTAAAAACAATGGTTATGCAAATTTTTGGGGTGACAAAGAAAGAGTGTTATGGTATGTTATGATATTTTCTGGAGTGGTCAATTAGAGGGAAAGCTTTGCCAACAAAAACGAGCCGCAAAACTCAGAATAACTTGATTAATTACTAAATTTCTATTTAAACGATAAGTATCTTCCGAGGCACGTCAAGTTTGGAGACAAGATATCCCACAACAATATTTTTGATTGAGTAAGACTTGTAAAGTTGAACTTCTGAAGTAATAAGTTGTTGTTTTCCGCTAACAAAACATTAATTAAAAAGCCAAAAAAAAAAAAACCAAAAACGTATTTGGCATTTCACCGATCCTTATTTGATCCGTTTGTGTAGGAGAGGTTCGTCTATATTATTATTCATCTCCATCTTATTTTTCAATTTGACAGGATCAACTCTCTGTGAGGCAACTTTTACCTAAGCAGCCTTGTGGATTTTAGTGCACTATGGACTAATGTTACAGCAGGGGTAACTACCATTTATAATAGTATTAAAGTCTTTATTTTAGTTTGATCCTGTCCCCAGGGGCTTCTCGGTTTTGAAAACGAGAAGACCCTAGACACTGCGTCGCTCAAAAATGCCTTTGCTTAAACCCCCTAATGAAATAGGAAGACGAACATGAGTGAATCTTCAAAATAATCCATTGACCCTTGAAATCTTTGATAGTATAAGCGGTACAAAAGATTTGTTTAGGTAAAAGCATGATTTGTAGTGATATTTGACATAAATACCTCGAGTGATATTTCAAAATTGTTATACGTAACTGGTATACGTAAATTTGAGATAATTTTGAAATATCACGAGTGGTATTTATGCTAAACATCACGGACAAATCATGCTATTCATGGTTATACTAGTCTACCCGCAAATGGTTTGTAATTTTCACATTGTAGGTATTTCAAATTAAGCTGAAAAACCACTGCTCTAAGCCAATCAAATTGCAGAAATTTCTCATGTAGTAGTATAAGCTTTGTAATTTACTCGATCCTCATGCCAAAAACCCAAATTACACTTTCGAAGTTAGGGCATGCGCAGTCAATTTTTCCTCCTTGATTTTTTTCGCTTTCGCAAGGCTTTTTTTCTGTCTCTGGGCATTAACAGTGCTTCATTTTTAGCAGGAAGAGGTTTTCGCAAAATCCCCGAAGTTCAAGAAGTGCATTTCAAGGCATTTCAGGGGGCTTGTGAAACAAGACTGGTTTCAATGGAATATTTTCTAGTTAAAGTTACATTATTTGTTGCCCATTTTCTCGTTTATGTTTCACTGAACGGTGCTTATTTGGGTATGGTTTTGCAAAGATCTTGTTCCCCTGCACAAGTGGAGTATCAAAGTTGACAATGACCATCCTTGTTCCCATGAGTACTCTCTCTTGCTTCAAGAAAGAAAGATTGTCTCTCGGAGCAAGAGAGAGAACACTGGAAACGAGGTTGGACAATGACCGTTAAACTGATGATGTCACTAGTGGTAAAAGGGACGTAGTTACACACGGGCGCCCTCTGGCGGTTGAAGGGTGTGCAGAAAGTTCGCTCAATTTCTTTTAACCTGGCTCCGTGACGTTGCCAGTAGTAGACAATACATTTGACCGGGGGGAGAGAGGGCTTATATCCAGGGAGGGGGAC